GTGCGTTACCACGCGTGGCATCTGTAAGTGCCGGATGGTGGGCCGGGTTGAAGGTCATGCTCCACAGCATCCTGTCTAGATGAGTCAGGGCTCTTTCATTTGCAAATGATAGAAGCCCAGCTGGAGGAAGGGTGTTAATTAGCTCCTGTAACTGAACAGTTCAAGGTGGAACCAGTTTCAAGAAGAGATGGATGCAGGACCTCCGCTCATATTCTCGGGGACAGGTTCCCCCAAGCATTGCTCACCTCCACTCTGCCTTCTCCTTCGTGGGGGCCCTTCCCGTGGGGGCCCCGGCAGTCCCAAGCCCTGTCCTCCCTGTGGAGCCACCTCCGAGAGAGCCACATGCCCAAGCATTCCAGCAGAAGTCCCCATGCAGACCACAGTCGCTCTCTGTAGAATTTCCCTTCTGGTTTGCCTTTTTGTTTCCTCCTTCTGCCCTGGGGGGTTCAGAACGAGTCACCCCAAGCTGTGCCTCTGCAGCATTTGGATCGTTTTGAGCTAGAGGCATTTTAGCTTCAGGCTCAAGAGAAACTTCTGCCCCTTCCTTAACTCCCTAGAAGAACTTACACTGGGGGCTGGCTCCTAAGAAGAGACCATCAGAGACAACCCCTCCTGGGCAAACTACGGATTCTGGAACACCTGCACTTCTCCCCCGCGGTGGCCCTCCGAGGCCCCCGAGGCCCCTCCCCTCATGCTCACCTGAGAGCCGTGTGTGCGTGCCCACCGCAGTTCCCGCTCCGTCTGCAGGCCTCTCCTTCTCCTGCCTGCAGGTCTCTGACTGTCCTGTGCACTGAGGTCCCCACACACAGGCACGTCCTGAATTTGGTGATTTTCCCTTGTTCATCTGCCTCTTGTCTATTTGGTGGTTAGACCAGCTGAGAGAACCTTGCTGGTAGAGGAAAGTGTCCTCCTCCTCCACAGCACCAACTTTTAACTAGTACAAAGCCTCCCTCCCTGCACCTCAAAGCAGGCTGCACTGCCAGAAGTAACTTTGGAATTTGCTCTGTGCCTTAAGCAAATTGCTTAAGCTCTCTAGGACGTTTCCTTTTCTACGAGAGGGTTTCCTTACAGACAGGAATGTTGTGAGACTCTGAAGCAGTGAGTGTGCCACGCAGTAAGTGTGGAATAGATGCATCTCGACAGCCATCTTCCCCTCCACCAGCAATAGCCCCGGTTTTCTCTGAGTGCCTCGCCCATTCCCAGCCCCTAGAGTCAGGCAGCGAAGCACATGACAGGCCTGAGTCAGCACGTGGCCCTCTCCTGGCCTGGGACTGGCCCAGAGTGTCAGGTGTCCCGGCTACAGCAGTTAGAGTGAGTTTAGGGCTTTTGCTGCAGACTCTGAGACATTTGCCCCCCCGGATGGCAATCTGGAAGGACACGGTCCCCAGAGCTGCTAGAACCTTCCCACGACCGACCTCCCAGGGAAACACTCTGAGGGTGGGGCCCACAGAGAAGAGAGAGCTCAGAGACACTGGGAGCTGGTGATGATATTTCGACCTCTGACTCCAGGCACACATGAACGTTTCCCACCTTCTCAGCAACAAGGGGTCCTACTCCCTCGTTGTCAGGGATACTTTGGGGGGATAGGGGTGCCAGAGTAGATAGGTTTTAAAATTGAAGCCCAACGTCCTCGAGAGTCCCCATGGTCCAGAAGGCTCATGGCAGAGCTGGGAGTAAAACTCAGCCTCTGGACATGGGTCCCAGTGCGCGGGCCGCCTGAAGCGCCTTCTCTCTGGGATGACCGCCGGTCCACTCTGAGACCAAGGACACCTGCACATAAAGAAGAGTGACAGACGCCTCAGAGACCTCCCTGCGGGACTGAGGAGGAAGTGGGGCCCTGGCAGGGCCCCAGGGAGCTGTGCAGACTGACCACGTGGCCTGGACGGGTGGGTTACCTGCCACAGAGCATTCGCCAGGCCTCTCTGAGGGCAGTAGACGAGAGGGAAGGTGAGCCAAGAGGCGAGTCTGGAAGTGTTCGCCCTCCGTGGCATCGCTGGGAGGAGGCGGAACGGCGGCGGGCAAGGCCAACACAAAGGACATCCTCTAGAGATGCTGAAAGCTGGTCTGCAAATGCTAATGACGATATTTCAAAAGGTTCTGAAGTCAAATAAGTTTGGGAAATACTAGGTCAGCCAAAGAGAAACACAGATATTTAGCAGGTCTCTCACAGCCATCACCCATCCAATGTGAACATTGACGCTCCGGAGTGGTGTTGGGGACTTTGCCCAAGCTGCTCTGGCTGCACAGCTCTTCCTGCAGAAGTGGCCCCCAGGACTCAGGGGCCGCACCACGCACTCGGGGAAATGCTGCTGTAGGCAGTCCATGCTGCTGGAGCAGCAGGCACTGGGAGGCCTTGGCGGTCAGGCACTGGCCCGAGCTCCGGCTCTGGTCACTACAGCCACTGTGCCCATGTGAGTGGCAGGCCCACAGTCCTGAAGAATTAACCACCCCAGGAGGCAGCCCTCAACCAGAGATTACAGGGATGTGTTAGTACCTGCCTCCTCACCGCCCTGGCCCCCCCCCACCCCCCGCAGGAGGGCTCCCACAGTCCTCTGCCCTCTCTCAGGACAGGACCACGCCCCAGCTGTCCACAGTGGTAGCTGGCTCTCCAGCGCACCTCCTGCTGTCTGTCCTCTCCTTCCAGTCTCACTCCCTAGCTCCCGGGCCCGGGACCTCTGGGCCGGCCTCTCAGATAAACTGCTTGCACCAGGACCCCTGTCCCAAGGACTGCTTCTGAGAGAGCCCAAGTCACCAGAGCTGTTACCTCCTCACAGCTTTTAGAAGCACCCAGATGCCTCCCCCAGCAATTCCAGAAAAACACTCTTGTCACTTATCTCTAAATCTACCTTTTCTCCAACAACAGACTCCAAGAAAAAGCTATTTCTGTTCCCTAGCTTCCACGTACGGGAATTCTCTCTCCCAATCACCCCAACATGCTCAGAATTCCCAGCCCCTTAGACCCTGTTGCCCTGACTGTCTACCCACCCAGTGCACTGACTGCTTACTGGGAGCAAAGCCACAGCCACTTACTGGTCCAAGGAACACAAATAGGAAGCTGCTTAGGGCCTCACAGAATGCCCCTCCCCCAACTACCAAAGCAAGGACGGGGTCACTCTGGACTTCCCGTGCCTCACAGCTCACAGCCAACCCATCATGACATCCAAACTTCTCCTTATTCTACCACCTCTCTCCGTTGCTCCCCCCACCCCTCACTGGGGCTAGCCCACTGCCCTCTTCCCTGTGAACTACTCCAGCAGCCTCTTCACTGTTCTGACCTCAGGGCCTTTGCATATGCTGCTCCTAAGTCCTGGAGTGCCATGTGCAGCTCACCAGCTTGCCCAGGAGGACCGGTGACTGTCTGCCTCCTATTCACTGCCTCCTGCAGCTGCCCTGCCCTCCCACTCCCACCCATTCCCTCCTTGGGCCCTGGTCTCTCCTGTTATGAAATCATCCAGTTATGGAAACACTTGAGAGAATCATACATCAAACGCTGTGTACCCAGCACTGCTTAAGAGAGATGTTATGCACGTCACTGAGGCCTTCCTGAACTCCTTCCCAGTGTCCCGCCCCTCTCGCCCCGCAGCTGCCACTCTCCTGAGTGTGGGATTCCTCTACTCCTCTGCTTAGCTTGATATCCTTGCATACATGTGTATCCCTGAGCAATATATATCTTTTCTCATCATTTTTAAGCTTTATATAAATAAAATGACTTGTTCTCCATTTGTCACCTCAGGTTCTGTTGCTGTTTATTTGAGGTGATAGGTACAGATGCTGTTTGTTCACTTTTAGCCGCTGGGGGTCCCCTGGTGCGCGTGCAGTCTCCCGGCGGTCCCCAGCCATGCCGCGGTGCTGCTGAGCCTCTGGGACCAGCCCCCTCAGCCTGTGCGCCCCTGTGTCAGGTTCCTACCCAGGAATTTGCTAAGTAAAGAGACACACCATTCTCAGCTTTACTGATGTTGCCAGACTGTTCTCCAAGGTGGCTGCACCAACATGCCTTGTTGGCAAACCATTTGTCCCTCAGCCTGGCGCAAAGGTGCCTCTCTGCCCACTTCCACCTCCCACGTGAAATGACAGCTCCGCTAGTGGATGTCCAGCCAGCCCAACACCCTCCCACAACTGTCCTCCCTCACCTCTCCAGCTGGGCCCGTCTGGGGCAGCCGACACTGGGCAACACCCAGAGCAGGACAATGGCAGCAGTGACTCTGAAGGTCCACAGCCACAGAGCTGACCCCAGATTGGCCACTTTGGCTGTGTGCCTTTGGGCAAATCGCTTCTCCTCTCTGAGCCCGTGTCACCTCACCTGGGAGATGGGGCACCCACCGTAACCAACAACAGGGGAGCAAGGATGAGTAAACAAGTGTGAGAGGGCAACAGGCGCCCAACAGAGAAGCTATCACTACTGTCACCGAGGACGCCAGGCACTTTATCACCCCAGTCAAGCCAGTGGGAGGGAACTGGTCATTTATCGGCCAGTGTAACTGTGAAGTTTGAGGGGATGCCTGTCTCGCTTTGGGTGTGACTGGATCCAGGGGTTCCGACCAGGAACTGGCCCTGTCCATCTCTGGGCCACTTTCTCCTCCATCTTGGCTTCATTCTCAGCCAGGATCTCCAAGTGGGGACTTCAGGACCACATCCATCCAGCTTAACAACTGCCAGGAACTAAAAGAGCTTCTCCTTCCTGATGCCTCCTGCCCAAGTCCCAAGTGGTCCTCATTGGCCCAGGCTAGGTCACATGCCCACACTGGAGCCAATTACAGGGCATCCATCAGTCCCTGCTACTTAAGGTGTGGTTCTTAGAGCAGCAGCACTGGAACCACTTGGGAGCCCCTGGGAAAAGCAGACGCTCAGGCCCCACCCAGACCACCCCCACCCCCCCACCACCGCGCTGAATCCCTGTCTGCGTTTGGGCAGAGCCTCCCGTGAGCGAGCCAGTGAGCCCCGTCTGCACATCAAAGCCTGAAAAGCGCTGTGCTGTACATTAACTGTTTCAGTTGCTCAGATAATTTTTAAGTTCTGTTTTATTGAGAGCCACAAAAGGTAAAAACTAAGAAAGCCCTTCAAAGTCATCGAGTCCCCCCGCTTCTTTTGTAAATGAAGAAACCGGGGGCAAGCAGAGAAGGGTCTTGCTCGGAGGCCCCCCCCAGAGCACCCCCACACCCCACTCCCCCATTAGTGCAGCCATGGTCTCTGGGGGCTGTCTCATGGGGAGATGCATCTGGGCCCCAGAGGTGCCAGCCTGGGTCAGGCTTGCCGCACCCGCGAGGAGACGTGTCCCGGCCGTTACAGCCACCCCTGCGGCACCTGGCCAGGGCGCTAGGAGCACGCAGGCCCTGCGGGGGATGGGCAGCCACAGACACGTACACATGCAGGCCTCGGGCACAGCCCACCCTCACCCTGACTGCGACCCACTGGACCCCCCAAAGTCAAGAGCACTACAGACCACACCAGCCTTTATTCTACCACAGAGTAGGGCTGGGGTCGAGGCAGTTCATTCTCAGGCTGTGTCAGAAGGTGCAGAGTGTTGGGGGCACCTAGATTGGACCCCAAAGTGACAATAAGTTAGGAGGAAAATTCTCAGGCTGTTGTCAGGCTGGAGCCGGGCTGGGGTGCCAAGTGGGCCCAGCTCGGCCCTCCCAGGCAAGGCAGGCTCCAGGGCAGGCATGCCTCATACTGCAACACAGGAGGGCAGGGGGAGAGAGAGGGTTGGGGGTCAGGGGTGGTGGGGCCTGTGTAAAGGGGTCCCCAGAGTCTCGGAGGATGGGGCCGAGGTGGTGGGACAGGGCCTTCAAGGGAGGGCCAGGGCAGGGCTGCGCAGGGCTCTCACCAGGCCCTCAGTGAAGCTCCTGCAGATTCTCATAGTCTGGGGCGCCCTCTTCCTCCTCTTCCTCGGCCTCCTGGGAGCTCAAGATGGCTGTCAGGGGAAGAAAGGTTGGTCTTCAGCTTGAAAACTGCACCCTGCCCCCCACCCAGGGAGCTCCCAGTGCCCGCCCCTCCCCCAGCACACACCAGGCTCGGTCCTAGCCGTGGGCTGCAGCTCCTGGGACACGTTCACGTACTCCCGGCTCCCATCTGTGGGGACAGGTCAGCAGGAGGAGCTGCCGCGCCAACAGGGGGCAGGCCACACCGAGGGTGAGAAAGCAAGAGGGCAACGGACAAAGGGCAACAGAGCCACAAGACGGGTAGGGGTGCGGCCACACTGCGAGGTGGGGTGGGGTGGCAGAGGGAGGGGTGGGGGAAGGTGGCCCCTAGGAGGGCACCAGCTGCTCACCCAGAGACGCATCTGCACTCTCCTCGCTTTCAGGAACGTTCACATAGTCTTCCCCCGACTCCACTGTAGAAAACCACCAGAGTCCCCAGCGCGGTCACCCAGGGCCCTCGGGCACAGATTCCCGAGCGCCTGAGCAGATGAAGCCCCAACCACAGCCACCAGACTTTCAACAAAACCAGCCTAAGATGCCTGCGCAGACACCCAGAGCCCGTCCCCACAGGCAGCCCCAGAGGGACGCAGACAGGGTGCCCCAGCCCAGGGAGGCCAGTGACCTAGAGGAGGGCAGAGGCCGTGGCAACGGGGAGAATAGGGCAATTTGACCAGAAGTGATTAGAGGGGATGCAGTTTCGGGGGGGGTGGGGGAAGAGACAGCAGATGCCCACAGTGCCCCCGCTTGGGGAGCAGAGCCAGACAGCAGCTCAGAGAGGTCGGACTGGGTGGCGTGCGCGGAGGGGGACACGACTCTCAGGGCCGGGCTAAGTCAGAGGTGCCGTCAGCCTCGCTGGACCCTCATCTTCAGACAGACCTGCCCTGATCCCCCATTCTTGTCACAGGCCCTTCATAGCGCACATCGTCATCGACAGTGTCTTGTTCTTTTACGTGTTGACTTGTCTCTCCATAAGGACGTGGACAAGACAGGCTTTGGAGCCAGACTGCCCAGGTTCAAGTCCAGCTCGAGCACTAACTAATCATGTAACCTCAGACAAGCTACCCAGCCTCTCCAGGCCTCAGTTTTATCATCTGTAAAATAGGATGAGTATTAAAAAATAGGATGAGTACCTACCCGTCTCACAGAGGTGCTGTGAGGAGTAAAGCAGTGAACAGTAAATGTAAGTATTAAGCAGCAAGAGCTACCGAGTGTCTGCTAACTAAATAAACCCTGCCATTGCACAGTTGGGGTAACTGAGGCACGGGGTGGGGGGGGACGGATAGGTCCAACAACACCTGCAAATTGTGAGGTTCAATAAGCTCATACACACAAAACTCTGAGTAGGGCATGTAGTAGGTCCTCAACACTGTTAACTCCTTTGCCATGGCACTAATAAACTTGTATCGGAGGTCCCCAGTAAATATCATAAATGAATAAGTGAATGAAGAAAAGAAGCACTTGGACAGGTGGTCTGGAGCTCAGGAGAGAGTCCCTGACTTGGGGACCTCTGCAAAGGCAGCCAGCATGTGCAGGCGACGGCCCGGGCGCACCCAGGGAGGAGAGGAGCCGAGAGGAGCCGAGCGCTGAGGATCACCAGATGAGGAAAGCACCAACAGGCAGGATGTGACCAAAACAAAGGGAGAAAAACAGCTCAAAGGAAATAGAAACAATGCAGGAAGCAGAAGAAAAATTCCAAAAAACAAAGACAGAAAAGACTACATTTGTTTAGTACCCTTGGAGGTTTACAAGATAATATTGCCTCCGTGAAACAAGAACAGGACGCATGAAAAAGGAACGCATCGGGGGACCAAAAAAAACCTTTCACCCCATAGAGACTGAAAGAATAGAGTGGAGGAGGGGAGCCAAAGGGGAACGAGGTCAAGGGACTCCTGCAGAGGAGACGCCAGAGAGACAGGAAAGGAGAGAGGCAGAGAGAGAAAACCAGATCAGAGCAGGGTGCCCACTCCCCGCAGGACGGGAGTTCTAGGAAAAAAGAAAAGAGAGCCCAGAGGCGGAGCAGGCGTCAGAGAAGCAGCAGGAGAGAGAGGCGCAGAGGGCCTGCGGCAGGGAGGAGCGGCGCTCCAGGGGCGACTCACTGGAGAAGGCGCTGTCTCGGAGGCCGGGGTTGCTGGGCACAGGAGCTGCCTTGGCAGCGCTGCAGGCGGCTGGGACGGTGTCGGGAAGCACCACCCTGAGGGAGAGTCAAGGGACAGGTCAGCTCAGACCCCGGCCTCAGCCCCTTCTCCCCACCTGGCCACTCACAAGTAGCCCTCGTTGTGATAGTCCTCCTCATCCTCATCTTCATCCTCGTCCTCACAGACTGGCTCTAGGGTAATGACACAGGGGTTAGCACAGTCCAGGTCAGGCCCCAGCCTCCCCCATCCAGGGCCCCGGGGTCCCAGACGCACCCTCATTCTCATAGCTTGCCACACTGTTGGCTAGGGAGAGAGAGAGCGAGAGGGAGACCGAGTCAGTGGAGGCCCACCCTCCGCCAGCCCCAGCCGCCCCCCCAGCCCCGCCCCAGCTTACCACCATCAGAGTCCTGCCGGGAAGATGACACTTGGTGGGAGCCCCCTGGGGGCTGTGGGGATCTCCTGGAAGTCAAAAATGACAGGTCATGCCTGGGACGGGGCTCTGGGACAACAGGGGTTGCAACAGGGAAACTCCCCATCCCAGGAGGCGAGGGATAAAGAGGGAGACTTGGAGGGGAAGGGGTTACTTACGGCATGGGAAGCAGGTCTGGCTGGCTCAAGGATGGATGGGATGTAACAGATGGATAGGAAGTAGCTGGTGACCAGGAGGCTATCATGGCTGAGGACACAGGACCGAGGTGAAGGAATGAGTCCAGACATCGTGTCCTAACCTTGTCAAGGCCTCGAAGGACAGACAAACCCCTTGAAACCCCTGTGCCCTAGACAAGCCTGAGGACACCTATATCCTCCATCCCAGCTCAGGTCAAGATCATGTGGGCAGCCATGGGGGGGCGGGCAGGGGGGAGCTGAACAAAGGCACGCACTTGCTCGCATTCCAGGGAACTCTCTTCCATACCCCAGAGGCCAAGGACCCTCCATGTACTCACGAGGCCGTTTGATCACGATTCTGTGTAGGGTCCCACTGGCAGGAGAGACACATTTTGGTAAGGAACCAGGAGAGGCCCAGGGCCAGCCCCACGTCGGGCACTAAGGGAGCGGCACCAGCCAAGAGGGCAGACTCACCTGTCGGAGGTGGCAGGGTCGTCTGAATCTGCGGAAGAGAAGGCCCGTGAGGCAGGAAAAGGGAGTGATGAGGGGAGCAGGTAATGGAGTCAGGGGCTCTCGGTGTCTCCACAGACAGGACGATGTGAGGGACTGAGGAGCGGGCTGAGGACCCCTGGCCATGTGTCCAAGCACCTGACAGCCCCAGACTCCCACTCACCTGACAGCTCCCGGCAGCGTACACAGAGTGCCGTCAGCAGGACGGCCAAGAGCGGCAGCAGCAGGAGGCCCAGCACGAGGGGGAGCAGGATGGCCACCTCCATCTACCTGCAGGACAGAGCTTGGACCAGGCCTGACTGCTCGCCCTGTGCCCCTCCAGGACACAGCTGCCCCACAGAGCGGGCTGGGCCAGCAGAGAGACCGGGCCCAGTGGCACCAGGCTAGAAGCCTGGCGGAGGGCAGCTGCGCCCTCGTTGAGGGCTCCCCAGATCCCTTCCCCTCGTTGGGCTGAGTGGGGGTCAGTGCTGGCTCTGGAAGACCCTTTATCCCAGAGCAGTCCGGCCAGGGCCTGGGCTGGAGTCTGGGGCACCAGCCACCCCTGCATGGACTCTGCACCCAGGCCTACCTGCCCCTCGGCTTGGCGCCCGCCTCACAGCGCCTGCCTGCCCGCCTGCGGCAGGAAGCTGTGGTGAGCTCCGGGTGAGGGCAGGAAATCATCAGGCTTCTCAGCCGGCTGCATCCACCCCCTTCCCACCCCCACCCAGCCAGTGGGGAGGGGAGGAGGCCGCCTAAGGAGCCACCCTCAGGTCTTCAAGAAGGGTGTGCTGGTCTCCGGGACAAGGGGCAACTCATACCAGTGGGACAAGGACAAGCCAATTGCAGGCCAGCCAGCAGACAGGGATTCCACAGCCTTGGCTCAAGGAGGCAGCAAGGAGGGAAGTGGGCCCCGGGAATTCAGAGGGGCACAGGGCCCACCCCCACCCCACCCTCGTTGGCCAAGAGGGGCGGGCTCTTGGGGAAACAGGGGCGTGACTCACAGTCACACAAAGCCAGCTCACTCCACCCTGTTCACCCAGCTCAGAAGCCCCACAGAAGGGACCCAACAGCCGCTAGGAGCCCTGGGGCTGCAGGGGGGACACCCCCTCCAGTCCAGAGGTTGGTGGTTACTCACACCCAGACAGACGCAAGCAGGCAGTTGGGGTCTGGCTACAAATTTTATTCAGTACAAATAGCACCGAGACCCTGGGGCTGCTCCCGTGGAGGGGGAGTCCTCTTCCAAGCCCTCATTGCCCACCCCTGGCTGCCCATGTAGTGTGTGGGAGCTGGAACATGGCCCAAGATCCCTCCTGGACGCGGGGCCAGGCCAAGGGTTTGGGCCCAGGGGCCGGCAGGGGCTGGTCTAGGACCAGCTGTGGTAGGTACGCAGGTAGGTGGGTGACGGCCCCTCAGATGAGCACACTGGACACAGGGACCCGGGTGGAGCGGCCTCGCCGGGGCACCACGATACGGTCATCTTCAGGCCCTGCCTCATGCAACAGACCTGCAGGCGGAAAGGTCAGGGTCAGGGTCGGACGGGCAGACGGACACAAAGCCTGGGAGAGGACAAACAGGCAGCTGGAGCTGTGGACAGGGGGACGTCAGCCTGTTGGCCAGGCAGACCCGAGGCTGGGTGAAGGGACAGCTGTGCCCCGAGAGAGGCCAGGCCACAGGACTGGACGGATGGGCGGAAGAACGAGCAGGCGGCGTCACGGAGTTGGGCAAGCAGCCGTGCACGGATGGAGGGAAGGTCCCACTGACCCTGCACGTGCAGCTGGGCCCGCCGGCGGTCGCCCTCGATGACGATGGCGGTGCCCAGGAAGGCTGCACCGCCTAGGGCCCCAACAAAGGCACACAGCATGAGTGAGAACTGCAGGGCCCGGAACTCGGATAAGAAGGAGGGAGGCCAGTTCCGGCGGAGCCGATCAGAGATCTGCGGGGAGATGAGGAAAGGAAAGCGAGGAGAAAGAGACTTAAAGAGGACACTGGGGACAAGGGGCCCCAGACTCCAGAAGAACAAAGACCAGAGCCAGGGAAGGGCGTCTGGGCTTCCAGGGAGAGGTCCACGGCCTCATGTGGGAACGTGGAGACGAACTCCTTCCCACCGGATGCGGGTCCTCGCCCGGCACGGAAGCCTGACTGGGCCGGCCCTCCCATTCAGCCCCGCTCAGGCCCCTGGCCACTGGCCAGTGTCAGGAACCCAGGGTGCCCAACCCCCACCCAGCAAGAGGGCAGTGCTCACCAGGCCAATGAGGTAGGGGCTCCCCGCGTCACCGAGCAGGTGGGACAGCACGATCTGGAAGGCCTCGGCCGTGGAGCGTCTGGTAGGGATCACCACATACTGGGGGCGGGGGGTGCAGAGGGCACAGATGGGGCAAGGCTCAGCCTAGGCTGAGGTCAAAGGTGAGCCCCAGCTCAGAGGGGTGGCTGGGGTGAAGGACAGGGCAGGCCTGGACTACAGGCCACCTGGGCTGGACTCTGAAGTCACCCGGGGGCTGGATTTTGAAGAAGGGGCAAAGGCCACAATTCAAGCCACTCCCTGCTCCCATCAGCCTCTGGACCAACCCTGGAATAGCCTGCCTACTCACCAGCAGAATATCAGCCACAATGGCCCAGTTCATGGACAAAAGTGTCTCTCCAATAAAGATGAAAATCTGGGGGACCAGAAGGGGGGGGTTAGGGTTGATCTCATCATAAGAACAAACACATGGAGGTCCATCTATTAACTCACTGAGTCCTCACAACACACCTGAGACAGGAGCAATTAGTATTTCCTTTTTGCAGATGGTGACACAGCACAGCCCAAGGCCACACAGTTAGGAGGGCAAGACCTGACATTCACAACCAGGCACTCCCACCCCAGAGTTGGCTCTGAACCATGATGCCGGCTGACTTCAGTCCTGCCCCAGTGCACCATTCCCCGACCCTGGACCCAAAACAGCCCCCCTGATACCTGCTGGCTACTCACATAAGTGGCCACGATGCTACCACGGGCACAAGCCACAGAGAGGAAGAGGAAGGGTGCAGAGCCCAGGAGGCCAGCAGCACAGACCAGCGGGTCAGCCCGGGGGTTGGAGTGGCGGAGGCGGCGGCTGATCTCCACGCCCAGGCCCACACCCAGGACCCCGGTCAGGCAGGTGATGAGCCCGAAAATGAGACTGGGGGCAGGGACAGGGGCACGGGGGCTAGTCCATCTGCCTGGAAAGCCCCCTAGCCTCGCCCCTATGGCCTGGAGAGGAAGATGACCCGTCCCAGCCACCCTTGCAACCCAGGTCTCTCCAGGCACAGCACCCCATGGTTCAGGGAGGTCCGTCACCCACTTCCCAGACCAGGAAACTGAAACTCTGGGAGAGCAAAACAGCCTGTGGAGTTGGGATTCGAGCTCTCCTTGTCTGAGTCTGAATCATACCCTTTCCACTCCATCCCCTGCCACCCACAGGCCATCCATCCCAGCCCCCATCTGGTTACCTGTCAGAAGAAGAGCAAGAGTCTCCAGGAAGACAGGGTGGGGTCTCCCCCAAAACCACACGGGAACGCAGCAAAAATGCAGGAGCCCAAAGAGCCAGGGAGCCCGTGACAAAGGCCACAGCAGTGAAGCCGAGGGAAGACAGGATGAAACTAGGGCTGAGGACAGTGGGAAAGGAGAAAGTCAAACTCCACTGAGGTGTAGGCGTGGAGGGCTATCTTCTGCCTGGCCATCCTCCTTTAGTGAGGTCGGGGCACTAGGGTCTGGGCCTGTAATTCAAGCAGCTGCCACAGGAGGCAGCAGTGACTGAATTCCTGGCTCTGACATTGGGCCAGGGGACGGGAAAGAAAACAAAGACCACCCCCACAGAAATTTCAACCCAGCTGTCCTGCCTTCCTGGGGATCTAGATGTTAGGTGAGGATGGAATTAAACTCACTTTCTTGCCAGAGCCCTCAGATCCGCCGACCACGAGGTGGGGTTCAGGGGCGGGGAGTCTGAGTGGCGCTCTACAGCTCCCCTCGGCGGCTCCCTTACCACCAGGAACAGCAGCAGTACTGCCACCACTCCTAGGCCTGGTGTCACCTGGGGAGAGAGTGGGCTTCAGGACAGGCACAGGCAGAGACACGCCCAACTCCCAGGGCTGGGAGGATAGGTGTGTGAAGGCAGCTCGGGCGCCAAGCCCTCAGCAGCAGGGTAGGTGCTTGCTCAAGGACGCTGAACCTGCAACTGTGGCGGAGGGGCGATTGCTACGAGGGGCCACACCCATTTCTGCAAGCCTAACTGCTCCCTCTTTGGTAACAGCACCCTAATTTTCTTTTGGGAAACCACTCCCCTCACTTCTCTCAGTCAGGGTGGCTCGAATAGGGCAGGGCTTGTAACCCAGACTTAGCCAACAAGAGCAGTATTAACTCCCCCAGCCTCGATGGCTGAGTCAATGGTGGGCACGTGACCCACATTCATCTAATCAGATTGCTCAAGGATCCAGGACGCCAATGTTTCTAAGTGGGAAGATAAACGTGTGGGGTTTCCACCTGCTGGAGGACAAAGGTAGCACAGAGGAAAGCAGAGCTACGAGGAGGGTGATCAGACGCCCGTGACTGTGGGAATCCCGGGTCCAGTTTTAGTGGAAGCACGCCCTGGGGTTTTCCGCTATGAAAGCCAACACGGTGCCCTAGGGCACTTACACTTTCACAGGGGACTTCTGTCACCTGCAACCAAGAGCTCTGTCTAGCACACGGCTTTGCGGTGGGGGCAGCCAGGTTTTCTGCAGGTTTGGCAGAGTGAGTGCTGCCTTGAAATGGGGTGTCTGAAGGTAAAAGGGGGGATCAGTGACGATGCTGCTGGCTGTCCCTCAGGCTGTGACCAGACTCACCCTCAGAGCCCAGTGCCAGTCCCCAGCCACGTCCTTCACTTTGGAGCCTGCAATGTAACCCAAACCACTGGAGGAAAGGGGAAGGAGAGGAGAAGGGACAGCTGGTCAGTCACGCCCAATGCCAGGCCCTTCTGCCTCCCCAGCAGGCAGGCCCAAGGCCCACTCACCTGCCCACTGGGATGGCAAAGTAGAACACGCTGAGCATCTGACTCCGCTGGTCTGCCACGAAGAGGTCAGCGATGAGGGTGGGTGCGATGGTGGAGTAACTGGCCTCCCCGACCCCCACCAGGCCCCGAGTCAGGAGGAGCAGCCAGAACCGCTGGGGAACGAGACGGGGGTGGGGAGGTAGCACCCCACCCTACAGCCAGCCTCCCCGTCTAGTTCACCAGCCAGTTCTGGAGAGGTGGCAGGGATGGCGGGAGGGGCCAGGGTTTTAGAACCAGACGGACCTGAGCTTGAATTCTGGCTCCCTTACTTACTAGCTGTGTCTTTGAGGAAGCAACTTAACCTCTCTGAGACTCAGCTTCCTAGTCTGAAAAAGGGAGATAAGGACATGTTCACATAACTGTTGTGAGGATAGGACAATGAAAGGTCTCTTCATTACCTTGTGCCCAGTAAGTGCAAAATAAATCTCACTTTCTATCTCACCCACCCCATCCAATAGTGAATAATGATCTTAGGTGGGGTTTCATTTGGCAAACAAAGACCCCTGAAGCTAGGACAGGTACCATCACCCAGGGAGAGCGTGTAGGGCTGAGGACAGAGTTCTGGGGCAGAGAGAGAATGGACAGGTGATTTTAAAGGAGCAAAGAAGCAACCGCCAAGGAGACAGAAGAAAAA